GGGCCTTCTCTGGGGTTCAGGTCCCCCTCCTGAAGCAGTAGGGACAGACGAATGATGTCATCACTCCCTCAGGGTCGGGGCTCCTCTGTCCTGGGACCTCCTGGAGCCAGCCCCCCAGTACCCCGGCCCGGGGAGCCTCGCCCTTGTCCGTGGTACCAGGGTAGGGATCCATGGGCTCAGGGCCTGCGGAGGGCAACGCGCGGGCCTGGTGTTTGCTGAGGAACGTGGGGGACATTGCTTCCAATGAGGGGCCCTTCCCGTGGGAGCAGCCTGAGAGCCCCTCCCGGACCCTCCGTCCCGGCGAGCCCCGGGCCTGTGACGCCTCGGGCTCTTGCAGACCCACCTGGGTTGGTGCTGTGGCCTCTCTCTGGGATGGCGCCCCCACCTGGCAGGGGCGCTCATCCTTCAAGACCACCTGAGTGACATCTTTTTGGTGAAACTTCGCTGCCCCATCTCGGCTCTGAGGGCGCACCAGGTTGTGTCTTGGGGGTTCGTTTTCCCTCCGCGTGGGTCTGCGCGCCTGACCAAGCGGAATGGGAAGGTAATGGGGTCAGGGCTGTTAAGCCTTAAGGCTGGCCTTGGCCCAGCGCCTGGGCAGCGAGAGGCCTGAGGCTGGAGGGGTCCCTCAGGGGCAGGGCAAGGTCTCAGCCTTCACCCAGCAGGGGCGGGACTGGGGATGGGACTGGAGGGCTGGCTTGGAGTCAGACGCACTGAGATTGGATCCTGGCTCTGCCCTTCTGGTGCCTGACCCCAGGCAGGTCACCAGTGCCCTCAAAGCTCACCTGTCCGATGACGCATCATCTTTAAATGGAGGCGATCTTACCCGCCTCCAGGATTGCCACGCAGACTAGACGACACATGTAAGGGGCACCGTGGGCAGCTGCAGTTGGAATTCTCTAGCGCCTGCCTCCTTGGCCCCCCTGGCTGCCCAGCCCTGGGTGGGAAAGGAGCCGGGCCCAGAGGCCCGTTTACCGAGGGCCTAGAGAGCCAGGGACTTGCTTGGGGGGTCACAGCCCAGTGGTGGCCATGGTGGGCACTGGGACCTCACTCATTGCCAATGTGAGTGGGCCGTCTGGGTGGGAAATAGGGGATGAGAGCAGATGGGGGGCCCTGAGGAGCTCCACAATGCAAAGGGGGTGCTTGCCTTTGCTGGACTCTGTTGAGCCCCTGCTGTGCATCGCAGGGGGGCCAGGATGGACTGGTCAAGTGTCCACCTCCATCTCTTGCCTGGGGCTCCACGGGACCAGGTCCTGTGGTCTTCCCACCCCCGTCACAGCAGGGTTCATGCATTCCCTCCAGATTTATTTGTTTATTGAGCACTTAGTGTGTGACAGGCCCAGCAGAGAGGAGGAAGGAAAGGGTCAGTCCTGCTACCTCCCCTGGCAGGAGGCTCCCCTCTTTTCTTAGGAATCTTCCCAGCATGGGCTGGCCTTGAGCAACCAGGGTGGAGTGGTTGCTAGCACCTCACCCCAGGCATTTCTGGGAGTGACCTCATGTCTGGAGTGAGCTGGGAAAGAGCTCACGGTTCCCCTGCGGGGGCCTGGTGGGAAGGCAGGGAGGTCTGATTGGAGGACTGTATACTCTGTGAGCCAAGGCTGTGTCTGGATTCAGCCCCTCCGGATTTCCACCACTGGGGCAGGTGGCCCAGGTGCCCTATTTACAAGTTTTAGTCAATGACAGTAGAGGAGATGGGCTCCAGGCAGGAGAGAGACCGTGAAAACATGCCTACACCCACAGTCCCCTCCAGAACCTGCCTCCATCTGGCACCTACAACTCCTGCAGAGGCCCAGAATGGCTCCTGAGCCAGCAGGCGAGTGTCCCTCCTGGCCCTTTCAGATCCTTTCTTGGGAAGGTCACACTTTCCCTGGAAAAGTTAGGCAAGGCTTCCTGGAGGAGGGAACATCTTGAGTCGCATCTTGATGGCCTATATTGTCTGAGTATTTACTGAACAAACACGTGCATCACCTCAATTTATTCCTGCCAACATCTCTGTGAGGTTGGAACTCCTTTCCTCTTTTACAGAGGGGGCCATAAGCACAGAGAGGTTAAGGAACTTGCCCAAGGGTACACAGGGGATCGTAGACTCAGTCTTCAGTGTGCTCTGACTCCAAAGCCCTTCTCTTAGTCACTTTGCCATATTGCCTGCCTTCTTGAAGCCCCACTGTGTGCTGAGCCCTGGGGTCCCTGCCCTAGAGGGTCCCACAGTCTGTGGGGTACATATGTTTGGAGATGATTAAGTCCTAGCTAAGCAGACGGGCTGAGCCATTTCTAGCAGCAGTGATGTGAGAGCAGAAGTGGAGAGCTCACCCCACTAGCTACAGAAGTACAATTTGGTGAATGCTGTGCCTGCGACATGGACCGAGGGCTGTGGGAGCATCCACAAGGGCCAGGGAGAGTCAGGGCCCTGGGAGGATAGAGGAGTGGAGACTTTGGAGTTGGGCTTCAGTCATGTTTTCCAGATGCAAAAGTGGGCAAGGAGGGACCATCCTACAGAACTTTGTGACAAAGACGCAGTCTTCCTAAAGAATGGGAGCAGACATAAGAGGCCTTCAGGACTCAGGACCACGAGTCTGAGTGTCAGCGACAGCACAGTAGCACCTTGGGGCAGTGAGTTGGGCAGGTGTTTGCCCCTGTGCGGAACGGCCCAGGCAGCTGGGCAGTGTGATGCTGGGTCAGTTTTCCCTGGGTTTTCCTCAGCCTTCCCCTGCTGGCCATGGTGAGGCCAGCTGCTGACCGTCCTCCTTGGCAGCAGCGATCGCGGCACCCCCTTGTCCTTCCCTGCTTCTGGACTGGCCAGGTCTGGCACCAGGTTTGCATGGTGTGTAAGGAAGAAAACACAGACCACGAGTGAAACCTGTGGGACCCTGCGTGGGTGCTGAAACTTNCATGGTGTGTAAGGAAGAAAACACAGACCACGAGTGAAACCTGTGGGACCCTGCATGGGTGCTGAAATTTCTTCTTCAAACTATAAGAAAACATTTATTTATAAAATCACAGGGGTGGGAGAAGCAATTTGTAGAAGAAATGGACTTAGGAAACAAGTTATAGAGGCAAAGGAAGGGCTCTTGGAGCTTAGAAGTGAGGAAGGCAAAGGTGACTCGCCTGGGGGAAGAGGGAGGGGAAGGGGAAAGAGAAGAGAAAGGCACTGAGCCCTCTGTCCTGAGGGTTTTAAGGGAGGAGATTTTAGGGGAGGTCCCAGCGGAAGATCTTAATAGAATATTCAGCAGCTTTCCAGGTGTGTCCTTTCAGGGTTGTGGTCTCCCCTGATGGATTGGTTGGCACCAGGGCAGGGGGTCATTATCCAGTGCAGCTGGTCCTGAGGTCGGCTGTGGCTGGTTTTGTTGCTCTTCTGGGCCTGGAGCTGAAACACGACTGAAGCCTCGATGTTATCTCTAGGTAGGAAAGGTCAGAGGTCCAAACCGCAGGACCAGTGATATGATCTGCTAGGGGAGGAAAGGCCACCCTGGGGTCGAGGCCCCACCCTACAGTGGTCCTTTGCTAGGCACCCAGGGCTTTTCACCCTGGTGACCTTCTGTACCTCACCTGTTGCCCTTGCTCTGCTCATGTCTGTCTATCTGCCTATCACATCCCCCCCTCAAGGGTCTTGGCTCTGAATTCTTTCAGAGAAAAGGGGTGAGGGTCTCTTCTGTAGCTGCTTCCTGCTGAAAGGGGGCAAAGTTTTCCTTCAGAGCCCGGAGATCCCTGCTCTCTGTCAGAGGCACAAGGCCTGGGCACAGAAGGAGGTGGCGATGGTGTTAGAGGTGGTTTTCCTTGAGTGGGAGTAGGGCGTGTAACTTGGTGGAGTTTGGATGTTGTGAGGCCCCGGCTTGGCCACTTCTTGACGGGTGACCGTCTGTAAATAGGAGTCACAATGACTGTAACTCGTGAAGATTAAGTGAGGTGTATGTATACAAGACCCTCCCTGGTCCTCCCACAGCCACTGGCTGGACTCAGGAGGCTCCAGGGACCCTGGGAGTGGGGAGGTAACACTGCACAGAAGCCAGGCCTGGCCATCTAGTCCTCTTGTCTGCAGAGTGGCGCATGTGAAACATGCTATTCCTGTCTGGGCCTGGGACAGTGACTGACCAGACCTCTGTATGTGTCAGACTCATCACCAAGTGACCTTCAGTGCCACAGTAGCAGTGGAGGGTCCAGGGAGACAGGCCATGGTGTGACCAAAAGCGCAGTCGAGTAACGGGAGGGAGCAACCCCTGGCCCGGAGCCTGAGCACACAGCCAAGAGGGCAGCCTGCCACCTGCTGCCCCCGGAGGCCTCTTGCTGGAACCTGGCCGGCCCCAGCTGGTGAGGGGGGACGTGTGGCTGTCAGCGCCTCCCCTACCGCCGGAGGAGCAGCCCCGGAGGCCTCCCTGGCACACAGCTGAGTCAGAGCAGGCCTTGGCTCGATGAGCTCATGGTCGGGAGGGTATGTGTCAGACACAGAGATAAGTAACTACATCTGCTCTCATCAGGGGCTCCAACCAAGGGAGGTCCTTATAGAGCCAGGGGAGCTGAGGCCTCTGCTCTGGGCAGGCGGGGCACAGGGAAGGTGCCAAGGTGCGGGGGCACTTAACTAGGCCTTGGGGTGGCCAGCTAGCTAGCCAGTGGAGCTGGGGTATACTCCACTTCACCGTCCGCCCACCCGGCCCCTCCCCTCTGGCCCGTGACCTTGGTCAGTGGTTTCCTTCTCTGAGGCTCCACTTCCCCATCTATGCCAGGGGGACAGGAACTGGCCTTTTACCTGCAGCTGCCTTGGGGAGGAATTTCGGATTCACCGGAGCACCCAGCCTGGCCCCTCACCCACAGTCTGACCAAATACCCAGGAGTTGTTACTGTTGTTACTGTTTCTCCCGAGGCTGTGGTTGTTATTTCAGGCTGACTAGAATTCTGCCTGCAAGGGAAGAGCACGCCTGCAAAGGGAACAGCGCTTGTGGAGGCTCAGAGGCGAAAGTGTCAGGAAATGGGAGGTGGGCAGGAGGCAGGAGCAGCGGGGACAGGACCTGATGGCGGAGCTGTGGGGAAGCTGTGGGCAGAAAGGATCTGGGATCGGGGAGTGCCTGGTACCAGTGTCTTGGCCCTCAGGTGGGGGAGGTGGGCTGGGCTCTTAGCTCTCAGGGCGTGTTCGCTGCAGGCTTGACACCCGGGAGATACCTAATCAGGTTTGTTGCCTCAGCCTGAGTTCCACAAAACAGAACCTGGGGTAAAACTTGTGGGCTCTTTTCTTATTAGGGTGAGTGGACCCCAGGAGCAAGAGCGACAGGGGGCAGAGGGAGAGCCCAGTCCAGGATGCCGCTAAATGTGGCTGATGCTCCAGCTGGCGGAACCACGGTTCCCAGAAACCATGTAAACTGGGAATCGGGACTGTTGGCGGGCCCGGGAGGAAGGCAGGCCCACAGCCATCAGCGAGCTTCTCCCAGGGAGCAAAGGTTTGCCCCCGAGGCATGAACTCCTCATTCCAGATCATGCCCACGTGGGCACTGAATGGGGCCACAGTGGCTCAACAATGGGGAAGCCCTTGGTGGGAGGTGAGGGCTGACCCTTGGCTGTTGGGTTTTGCCCCATGAAGTTAGAGCCCAGCAGAGCTGGAAAAGGGGCCAGGGAGGCCCCGAGGGTCTGACTCTTTTGTCTCATCCCGTAACTGCCCTGGCAGCCGCTGGAGAGGACAGTCCCAGGGAAGACCTCCCAGAGGAAGCGGCCCTTCGGTCGGGAGCTAAACAAAGGAATACCTTACGCAGATGAAGGGCAGGGGCGTCACTCGTATCAAGTGAGAATGTATATGAAAGAGCCTCAGACCCTCCTGGCACACAGCGGGTCCTCAAGAGTGGCTGCTGATGCTGTTGTTGGTAGTAGTTGTGGTTGTTTGTTCTAACAGAGGAATGAAGGCGAGGAGGCAGCAGGCCTGCCATAGTTGAGACTAAACCCGGTAACAGGCAGGTGGAGCTGTCTCCACTTTACAGATTAGCAGCCTGGAGTTCTCGGAGGTGGGTGACCCGTCCAAGGTGACACAGTGGGTCAGTGCCACCACGGAGCATCCCTGAGCCGTCCCTGTCTTGGCAGGAGTGCTCGCCCTACGCAGCCCACCTCTATGACGCCGAGGACCCGTCCACGCCCCTGCGGACGGTGCCCGGGCTCTGCGAGGACTACTGCCTGGACGTGTGGCGGGCCTGCCGCGGCCTGTTTCGTCACCTGTCCCCTGACCCCGAGCTCTGGGCGCTGGAGGGCAACCAGGCCAAGTTCTGCCGCCACCTGTCCCTGGACGACACGGACTACTGCTTCCCGCGCCTGCTGGTCAACGAGAACCTCAACTCGAACCTGGGCCGCGTGCTGGCCGATGCCCAGGGCTGCCTGCAGCTGTGCCTGGAGGAGGTGGCCAACGGGCTGCGCAACCCCGTGGCCATGGTCCACGCCGGGGATGGCACCCACCGCTTCTTCGTGGCCGAGCAGGTGGGGCTGGTGTGGGCCTACCTGCCCGACCGCGCGCGGGTGGAGAGGCCCTTCCTGAACATCAGCAGGGCCGTGCTCACCTCGCCCTGGCAGGGCGACGAGCGGGGCTTCCTGGGCCTGGCCTTCCACCCCCGCTTCCGCCACAACGGCAGGCTCTACGTCTACTACTCGGTGGGTGTCGGCTCTGACGAGTGGATCCGCATCAGCGAGTTCAGGGTTGCCCAGGATGACATGAACGCCGTGGACCACAGCTCTGAGAGGTGGCCTCCCCAGGGAGCCAGGCTGGGCGGGGGCGGGGCTGGAACTCGGCGGGCGGCACCCGGCCAGTTCACGCTGTGTGCAGCCCGGGTGGTTAAATGTTTTCAGTATCACCCTGGGAAGGGGGCTGAACCCCATGCTCCGGAGTCCGGGGAGGGATAGTTGCCACACAGACATCACAGGATCATGTCCACAGCCCTGGGTCAGGCACTTCCCATGGCTCGTTTCCCTGGGTCCTTGTAAAGCCCAGTGAGGTCGGTATTGCTGTCCCATTTCACAGATGAGGAAGTGGAGGCTGCAGAGATGAGGTGGCCTGCTAGGTCGCACAGCCAGGAAGCATCAGAGCTGGAACCCTGGCCTGTCTGTCAGGCAAGCCCCTCCCACTGATCCTCTCACCCCCACCCGGTAGCTGTGGCCCCAGGTGATTGAGCCCCAACTTCTCCTCACCTGGATCCTTCCCCCCTCCCCGCCCCCAGCAGGTTTATCCACTCCTTGCCTCCAGGCCTCTGTCCCCCTCGACACTGACCCTGTTCTCTGTGTGCTATTTATGTCCGGCTGCATCTGAAATGGGCTTGGCAGACCTGGCATGGAAGGCGTGGGCATCAGTCCGAGTCCAGTAGGGAAGTGAACCCTGTTCCAGACAGTTCAGTAGGCAGAACCCGACATGGGAGTTACTGCGGTGTTAGGGACGATGACAGACACCGTGAGGGAGACGTGGGGCAGCTCTGAGTCTAACCCGTGAAGGAAGCTGCCACCACCTCTTGGGCTGGAGGATAACGTGAGGAGGTGGGGGCCCAGGAGCCCCGACACTGGGGCCACTCGGAAGCTGGAACCACGGTGGGCCCGGCAGCAGGAGGTGGATCCAGGGAGGAGGGACAGCTGTTGCCAAGATGCTTCCTGGAGAGAGAGAGAGAGAGAGAGAGAGAGAGTGAGAGAGAGATATGGGAGAAATACCCTGGTTTCTCGCTTCCTCCAGTCTCCTGCCAGTGCCCAGCTGGAGACGGCCTAGCGAGGGGGCGTGGGAAATGTAGTCTTAGGAACTAGCCCTCAGGCAGAGAGCAGGTGGGGGGGCGCCAGGACTGGACCTGAGGGCATAGAGGCAAATAACCGTACATCATGTATTTGATAAAACTGTTACACGTTGACACTGACGTGTAAGAAGGAAGGGAATCAAATACACTGGCTGATACGAGGGCTCCTGGAGATCTGGTCACGTAGCAGTAATTTTGAGCATGAGCTCCCTGGCAGCCAGAGTAAAAAGAGGAAACGCAATTCTTATGACCTTATACGAGGCTGCATCCCCAGTTCTCCAAGAGAGGCCAAGTTTATCACCTGGATCTCACAGAGCGGAGACAGACGGATGGAATGGATGTATCTTCAACAGTGACATTTAAAAATGGATTCCTGATAAAGACTGAAGGTGCAACACAAAGCATATAAGTTAACATATTTCAGACTGAGGGTTCAACGAGGGTTCTCTGGGGACCTCACGCGTACAAGCCTAGGCATGGCCGGCTCAGGGCACGACCAGGAGTGAGGGGTTATCCTCGCTGGAGTCAGTGGTCGGTCTGTGATCCCAGGGCTGGGATGCCGAAGGGAAGCGGATGCCTGACAGTTTGAGCTGCCCTGTCTGCAGAGGGCCTGGAGTTTGGGGCTGTGTGATTACCAAGTCATTTGTCTTGGCCTCACCTGGAAAGGCTTCCAGTCTCGGCTCTGAAGGCCCAACACCTGGGGTTCAAGTTCTTGACCTTTCTGTATCTTTGTTTTTATAACATATATATATATATATATATATATATACATATATATACATATAGTGTTACACATATATATATAAAAACCTCACTCGAGGATTTTTTTTTTCCATTGGTTTTTTGAGCAAGTGGAACAGAGGGAAGGAGGGAGAGGGAAGAGAGAGAGAGAAACATAGATGTGAGGGAGACACATCAATTGGTTGCCTCCCGCATGCTCCCTAAGCAGGGCTGGGGATTGAACCTGCAACCCAAGTATGTGCCCTTGACCAGAATTGAACCTGCAACCCTTTGGTCCGTTGCTGTAACCACTGCGCCACATTGGCCAGGGCTCTAATCTATATTAATAAAGGATTAGTAAGTCAGTAACCAGTCCTGGAAAATAAAATCAGCTGAGCACTTCAGTCAGAGGGAATTTGACACAGGGGGTTGGCTACAAAGGTGCCAGGAGGGCTGGAGAAGAAAGGGGGACGGTCAGGTTACCCACAGAGTAGTAACTACAGGAGGCTGCTGCCACTCCCGAGCTGGAGGAACCACAGGGGAAAGGTCTGCGCGGCTCACTTTGCCGCTCCTGGTACCAAGATGCCTGGGATGAAACCCGGAGCCCACATTTACCAGCCACTGTTGCCATTGTGGCAGCCACCGATCCTGGAGGCAGCGCCAGGAGCCTGGGAAACGGGCGCCTCCCTTCTCCCGCCTTCCGCTTTCCACTGGCAAACCCTACTGAAGCCGGCTGGCTGGCGGAGGTACAGTGGGAGCCCCCCCCCCCC